TGCAGGTGGGAGATCTGTGACAGTGGAGTCTGTGCCTGGGAGGCTCTGAAAGGCCTCACAGAGGTGACATTTGCTGTGAGCAGAGTGACAGATGAGAGGCACACCTGCCTGTGTCTGGGAAGAGTTTGAGTGTCAGGGAGAAGGCACCGCTCGTGCAGAGGCTCACAGGAAGAAGTGGGTCTGACAAGACAAGGTCAGAAAGGTGGCGGTGTGGCTGGAAGGAGCCTGAGAAGAGAGAGGAGGGCAGATGGGGGCAGAGCAGGTCTGGGTGGCAGGAACTGGCAGACTGCTTTTTCCCATCACTCTCTGATGACATTGCTCTAAGACATTGCACATAGAAAGTACAAATCCTTAACATCTCACAAAGCATGTGTGCCAGGAATGGGGCACAGCTTAGCTGGGTGCCTCTGCCTCAAGGTCTCTGTGAAGCAGGGGCTGCGGCTCTATTGTGGCTTGACTTGGGGAGGGTTTGCTCCCAAGTTCACTCACATGCGTGTTGAAGGGGTTTGTTTGGACTGAATGTCTGAGTTCCTGCCTGTCTGTTGGCTGATCATTCCCTCCGTTCTCGCCTATGGAGCCTCTTCATAGGGCAACTGAAAACATGCCCACTTACTCTCCCAGTTCCAGAGATATAAGAGGCAGAGAGAGAGAGAGAGAGGAAAACAGGAGGAGGGAAAGAGGGAGGGGGCTGAAGAATGTGGGTAAGAAAGAAGTGCCAGGCTTTTTGTTATTAACCCCGGGTTGTGTGCCATCCCATCACCTTGGCTGCATTCTGCTCAGAAGCCACTTCCTAATGATTGTGCAGTTCCACAAGGATGTGCACAGCAGAAGACAGTGAGCACCGGGAGCCGTGGTGGAGGCTGCCCTCCACATAGGCCGACATGAGGCACTTGGCTCTGACTCTAAGGGAAACAGGAGACCGTGGAAGGTTTCATGCCAGTGACTGGCAATATCTGAATTTCCTCTAATTTCAACCCCTAAAAGCTGTAGACGTGGAAATGAGACCCAGAGGGGCAGTGACTTGCTTAAGGTCCAAGAGCTGCAACCCAGGCCTGTTTTGAGGGGTACTGCACATGACATCCCACCCCTTCTTGTCATTCTTTCATCTCTAAGTGTGTGCATGAGACACATTGAAACCAGACCACAGGTGTTGTCACTACTGTCTCTTTCACAGCTGAGGACGTCCCGAGGGAGCTATTTCTGGCCTCATCCCCATCGTGCAGGTTGAGAGGCTGAGGAGGCCCTGGGAGGCACAATGGCTTTTCCAGGACACAGAGCTTCTAGGCAAAAAGAGGCCTGAACTCAGCTGAACTCAGCTTCCTGAAACTGGAAGCCTGGTTCCATCTCAACGTCCTGTGTTGGGCTCTGTGCTGTCTATTTGTGTACAGTTCTGGAGATGACATGGGCAAGGAGGGTGAGCAGCCAAGAGCCCAGAGGGGTTTTGGGTGGGTGGGTGTGATTGAAGGAAGGGGCCCGAGTAATGGAAGCTTGAGGAAGTGACCTCACTTCCTTGGTGACAAACCCTAACAGAATGTAGCACACTGGTCTCCAGGTGCCCACATTCTAGACATAGCCTCCTATTGAGCTCACTTGAGTGGAGACACTCAAGAGAGCAGGATGCTCTGCTGTTGTCTCCTGACTTGTTGAGGCTCTGGCTTCAGGAAAGCCAAGAAACAGAGCCTTTTCAGTCGCTACACATTGGCTCGGCCCTCACCTGCACAGCCTCTGGCCATTTCGCAGGAGGAGCCCTCAGGTAACACAGGGCCAGCCAACCGCATTAGGCCACACCGGGATCCCAGCCCCACACTCCTCTGAGCCTCCTTGTGTGTCAGGGGGGAGTTGAGTGAGGGCTGGCGGGGCAGAGCAGTGACCCACTTTGGGCAGGAGCCCTTTGCTGGGTGTTGGAAGCCTGGCACTGCATCATGTTCCCAGCCTAGGTGGTGGCTAGCAGGATGGGAGAGTGGGTGCTGGGGACCAAGCTCCTCTATGCATGTGTCAGTCCCGAGCCCTCCGGGTGTCATCTCATTCCCTCCCTGGCTGGAGGTCTGTGCAGATGCTGTTGGGTACCTGATCTGTGCTGGGTTTCCTCCTGTGGCCAAGCAGAGTTAGGTCCCTGAGACCTCCTGGCCCTGCTCTCGGGCACTCTCTTTGCAGAGCTGCACACAGGAGGTGGTCGAAGAGGTGGTGGATGGCTTCGGGTACTCCATCTCCCTGGACAGGGGCCGCTGCACCGCGCCACCATCAATAACTAGGGCTGCTCTGAGGTGAGAGTGGGCACAAGGCTTCTTCCTACCCAGGACCCTGAGATGACCAGGGCCGGCCCAGAATCCAACCTCAAACTGCCGTTCTCCTGGGACCCTAACAGGGCTGTCCCCCCTGAGTGTCCCACAGTCCCATTCCCAAAGGAATCTGGACTTCTGCTCCTCCTCACCAACTGCATAGGAGGGTAGGAGGGCACTCTTTGCATTTCCCTAGGAAGATTAGAGAAAACGTTGATGTCGTTGTCACTTCCCACTAGGCCCTGAGTATCTTTGAATTTTGCCTTTTTTGGAACATGGAACCTCGATAAGGAGGGTCTCCAAACTCCCTTTAATGTAAGAGAAATAACCATCAGCATGTTTTGGAGGTCAAAGGGATTCTCAGAACGTGTCACTGCCCTGTACACTGTTTCCAGACCTGGGAGGGGTGAGGTGGCCATATAACATTTCCCTCCGGGTCAGGGTCCGATGAAGCCTCAGGAAGTTAGAGGGGATGTCCTCAGCCCTCAGTTTGGGCGGTTCTCAGTTCTGACCCACAGGACCTAGAGAAGCCACTTGGCATGCCTAAGCCTCTGTTCTCTCTAGAGAAGGTGTGTCTGTTGAGGATTCACTGGGCTGGTGCTCTTCACAGAGGGAGGTCTGTTGTCCCTCAGTGAGCAAATGGCCTTGAGGGAGCTCAATGTGGAATCCTTCGCCTGCCCAAAGTCAGATTGTACTTTGAAAGCCCAGAGCCTTGCTGAGTGTGGGAGCCCCTGTCTCTCCTGTTGCACCCGTCTGGGAGGGGCTAGGAGTTCCTGAGTCAGCTGCAGACCTTGATAATCCTGGTGGCTTGCAGTGGTGGCCCTGACCCTGTGTCCCTCCTTGTCCCACCCAGAGTGAAGATGAGACCACTCTGTCTATAACTGAGGCCTACAGGATGCGTGCCCTCCAGGCAGGCAGGATGCAGAGGCTCTCAGAGTCTGTGCTGCCAGCCTTCCCCGGTAGAGTCCTCTGCAGTGTCACCACCTCGCTCTGCAGCTACTCAGGCTCCAGCACATCCCACCAGGTCCTGGACCAGCTGTTTCCCAGGTGACTGCCCGCCTCCTCCTCAGCACGGTGGTGACTCAGCCCACTGCCAGCTGTGTGTCTTGTCTTGGGAATGTTACCACTTCTCTCTGAGCCTGAGTTGGCTCCTCTGAAACGTGGAGTGGGAGAGGATGAACTTGCTAGGGTTCTCCCAGGGATGAATGGGCTCAGCCATCCAGGTGCTTCCCTGGTGTCCGGCTCTGCAGAGAGGGTGGTGGGCCATGCTGTGGTTGCTGGTGGTGATTATTTCTCTGCCCCCCATGAAAAGTAGTCCTCCTCTCCCTTCACTGGCTTGTGGCTTTTTGAGTTTGGAAAAACACCTAGAGAGCACCCTGTCAAGGAGTTTGAGATGCCATCCAGTTCGTCCTGGTGCTTGTCCTTGGTGTAGCCATTTAGGGATCTCTGGGGCCACAGAGGGGCCCCAGGCCTACTCAGACACCTGGATTGGTTCTGCTTGGAGTTCATTTAACAATGTCTATCAAGGACCTACTGTGTGCAGGACATCTGGACACTCTAAGTGTCACTCAATAAATGAAGAAGACAGCCTCCCTGGGCCTCCCCTCTAATCTGAGAGTCAGTCACACTTGACATCATTTCTAGGTCCCGTCTACCCTACATCCCAGGCGATGCCCTCATCCCCTTTGGGACACATGGAGGCAGCTTGGCCCATTGTGTGCGGGATGCTGGAGGACAGCACCACCTCCCAAAGTGAGTGGTCTTTGGGTGCAGACAGAGGGCCTCCTGTCTCTAGCAAACAGGGTGAGGGGAGAGAACGAAGGCTGTGGCTGGCGCAGCCCTGGGAGAACCCTGCATCTCACCCATCTTGTGATTCCCATGGGAAGGCTGAGTTCTGGTGGCTTCCACTCCAGCAGGACTGGACTCAAAGAGAGATGTGCATGGGTCCCAGGCCCCCTGAGAACCGGAAGGGAGGCTGGGCTGAGTTGTCTCCTAGAGACCCAATCCCAGCAGAGTCCCAGCTCCTTCTTCCTCCCTTTCTCCACATCCACCCCTTGTGAGCTCCACCACCAGGTCCATAGTAGGAGGTGCGTGAGCAAGCTGCTCACAGATCTGCTGGAGTCTTCATTCCAGTGGCCCATGTGCATGGAGGGCTGGGGTGGGCTGTGTCTAGACCCTTGGGGAGGAGAGTGCCGGTGGGAACAGGAGACTCTCACAGACTCTGTGTTCAGCCTGCTGGATGAGCAGGCCTGCCACTGCCAGGACAGCCAGTGGGGGCTCAGGGCTGGGCTGGGCCCCTCCTCTGGAGGGGGAGGGGCTGGCACAGGGGCCTAGATGATAACAAGAGTGCCTTGCGCAGGCAGTGTATAAAGAAAGGCAGCGCCACTGACTCTCTGGCCCATCTGCCTCCCCCCAGTGCTATCTATTTCCTGCTGGGAACTTGGCTGGGCCAAGGGCAGGATTGCAGGGAGGCCCTACCGTTTCCTTGTTGGACCCTGCAGCTGGCCACTCTGCACGTCAGCTTTCGTGGCTCACATGTGGAGGGCCATGCCTACCTTCTGCCAGGCCACCTGGAGCACATCAAGTCCATTGAGGCCAAACAGAAAGGTGAGGGGACTGGAGTCTGAGAAGACTGTGTTGAGGTTCATGGGCTAGAGTTCCCTTAAAGGCAGTGGAGTCCTTCCTGTCTTTGGAAAGGCACAAAAACTGTCAGGTGTGTGAGTGAAACTTTCTTTTTATCCTGCTCCAGAGCCAACTCCAAAGCTCCTGCCACTTCCAGAGCCAGAGCCAGAGCCAGAGCCAGCCCCTGAGCTAGAGCCAGCTCTAGCTCTGGCCCCACCACCTGTGGCAGAGTTTGAGCCTGTATCACCTGCATCGGACTCTACAGGGCTGGAGAAAGGGCCACCAGTAACTTCAGCCCCAGTGTCAGCTCCTGAACTAGAGCCCATTGGACCCTGGGCTGTGACCAACGAAAACCAGCTGAGGGAGGAGAAGCCGAACCTCTTGCACTTCTCTCCCAGGCTGGTGGCAGAGCAGCTGACAAGGATGGAGGCAGTGAGCAGCGGGGCTTGCAGGGCAGGGGTCTCTGCCTTCGTGTGCCATGAGCTGCCCCACACCTGCCATTCCGTGACCCAAAATCTGATGATCTGGGTCCACATTCCTGCTCCCCCATTACCAACACTGTGACTTGGGCACTTTCTTAACCCCAAGCGCTCGCTGTCCCCACGTGCACAGCAGAGCCGGACACTAAGGGCACCTGCTGCATGGGGTGGCTGTGCCGATGAATGAGGTGGAACAGAGAGGAAGTTGGGCAGCGTCTGGCCCTTTGGTGCAGGAGGGAGTTCACTGAAGTGCTGCCAGGTCCTTGGGCTGATCACGCCTGTGCCCAGGGGGCCTTCAAAGCCTCAGCACGTATCAGGCACATGATGTGTACTGACTCCAGTGGAGATAATCACACAAAGCCGGTGCTTCTCCCTGCCTCAGGGGAATGTGCATGGGAATGGGAATTGGGACCCGAGGGGGACTGGGATGTGTGGAAGATGTCCCTTGGGGTGGGCCGGTGGGGGCTGTGTTTCAGAGCTTGGAGGAGGTCAGACGGGGCTGGGAGCAAATGCCTTCCCTTCTGCACTGCACTGTGTCCCGTGTCATCTTGTGTTGGCACCTTCAGTGGACACAGACAAAACCCAGGGAGTCCCAGAAACCTCAGAGATCACATCCTCTGCTTCATGAGCTCCCGCTCTGTCTGCAACCCGCCTGGGACCCGTGGGGGACCGTGGATGCTGAGCTGGGGTGAGGCAGTGCTGGCAACACTCTGAATCTACCTCAGGAACTGTTTAAGAAATTGGTGCCTGCCCACTGCCTGGGCTCCATCTGGTCCCAGCGAGACAACAGGGACCGCGAGTACCTGGCACCCACCATCTATGACACTGTGGCACACACGAACACCTTGGCCAACAGTGTCATTGCTATGTGCCTTGGGGCCCCGGGCATGACAGCCCAGGAAAGGGCCAGGGTGGTGGAGCTGTGGATTCAGGTGGCCGAGGTAAGTCATGGGAGGCCAATGGAAGCCCTGTCTGGAGTCGTGGGAATTGCCTCTTGTTTCTCAGCTCTTGAGATTGAAGTCTGTGGTCTGAGTCCTTGCACTGTCCCTAGACCCTCCTGCCAGGGTCACACTGACCTTGACTTGAGGTCCTGGTGGTGGCAAGCTCACTTCCTTCCTGTGCTCCTTCCTTGTGTTCAGCTAAAAATCCTTGTGCCTGGCAGTGTTACTCGTCGGATCCCAGGTGTGCCCTCCCTGGGTTTCCTGGGCATCTGTCTCATCCAGGACAGGAGAAGTCCATGAGGGGACAGAATCCAGAGCTGGAGAGCTCCAGCCGCCCCTCACAGCTCAATCTCTTCCCTTCCCCAGGGGTGCCGAGGCCTCAGAAACTTCTCTTCCTTCCATACTATCCTTTCTGTTCTGCAAAGCCCTGCCATTAACCGTCTCAAAGAGACATGGGGACAAGTTTCCAGGTGGGTAGGCTGCTCTCCATCCAAGCACCACGAGGGTGAGGTGGACCTGGCAGCTGGCCTTGGGTCTCCATGGCCCCGGAGTCAGCTGAGACCACCTGGGAGACAGAGAATGCCTGGGACACGGACTGATCCGGTTCCTGGGTCTCTGAGTCTCTCAGGGCCCTTAGGCTACCAGTTCTGCCCAGGAATTCATTTCCTTCAATATCAGATCCTGACTTGAGCCCAGTTGGAGATTCTCAAGTGTTTCCTTTGCAGCAACAGAAATCTCCAGACAACTGAAACCGAGAGTGTTCAAAACAGATCTGTGTGGTAGATATGGGAATGGAGGCCCCAGGTCACAACAGGAGAGGCCCTTCCCCAGTCCAATGGGGACTTCGGGGCTCAGAGCATCCCAGTGAAATCCCACATCCAGGCCCTAGGCTGTTTGGATCTTCTGGGATCTCAAAAAAACGGGATTTGCCCTTCAACCACCCCATAGTCTTTCTTTCTTTCTTTCCCCACTCTCCCAGGGAGAGATCCTACACCTTTAAGAAGTGGTGCAGGGGAGAGCAGCACGTGAGCAGGAGACTGCTCCTGAAGGTGACCTAGGGCTGGAGATCTGGGAGGAGGGGTGCCGGAGGGGGCCGGGAACATCCTGAGTGCATCCTAGGAAGTGAGGCTATGGTAAGGCCATCCTGGGGTTCAGAGACCCCTGTCAGGGGGGCAGGAAGGAGATGCCACACGGCCCCCCCAACACCCTCTGCCCTCTCCCTCCATGTCTCAGTTTGGCTGTTGTTGGGACACACTCTGGGAGTGCAGAGGTCGGGACCATGGTCAGTGGTGGGGCAGGGTGAGGGGTGAAGGCAGCGGGGACAGGGACTCTGGCTGGGAGGGAGAGTGGCCTCTCCTCAGTGGGTCCTTGAGCAAGTCTGGGCCCCTCTGTTGGCCTCGGTCTCCTCCTCTGGGAAATGGAGGGAGATGACATGATGCAGGCCTCACAGCGGGGTGATACCGTCCAAGGGAGGACAGGAATGGGAGATTTGTGCTGGCTCCTCCTCGAGAGGTGAGGGGAGAGTAGTGATGACAGTCAGATGACACAGAGTCCTCAGGAGAACGCTGGATGCAGGTGGAGTTCTCCCCACTCTTTCCTGAGGAAGAAAGAGGCTCTGGGAGGCCTGGGCAGGCCCAAGATCACACAGGAGTGAGTCCTGGAGCCGGGACTGGTCTAGAATCAGAGCACCCTGGAGGCAGGAACAGCATAGGCTGCAGGGGACTGGAGCCAGATGGCCAAGGTATGAGGTCAGTGGCCTTGGGGGACATGTGGAGGGGAGCATGGCTTCTCTGACCCTGTCCTGGTCCACAACAGGAGGCTACCACAGTGTTGGCCACTGCACAGAGGGCCCACCATGGAAACCGGGAGAGGCGGTGGCAGCAGGTGAGGGTGCCTGGTGGGAGGTACCCAGGAGTCAGCGGAGAGGGAGCTCCCCCTCCCAGCTGGAGGCCTCTCCCAGGAGAGGGTCCTTCCTCCTCCAGAGCATCTGCTGTGGCCACCGAGCCTGAAGTGCCTGCATTGGCAGTGAGCAGGAGGAGGCCTGGAAGGGCTGGGAGCAGGATGGTTTTGTGGTGGGGTGGGTCAGGGGCCACATCCCCTTGGATTGGCCCACAGCCAGCCTGGGATGTGACTGGGGGAGTTTGGTGTTCCTGGAGGGGAGGGGAGGAGGGAATTGTGTGTGATGGGGGCTCCTGAGGGTCCTAGGCTGCTGTATGTGGGAGCCTGGGGTGGGCAGGTGGCTGGGGTAAGAGGTTTCAGGGGAGGGTTTATGGGGCCACCTGAATGCTGGAACTCATCACCATCACCACCTTGATGGTGCAGGGTGTCATCCCCTCCCTTGAGATGATCTTCAGTTACCTGGAGCTGCTGCATGATGAGACGGATTATTATGTGGAGGTGAGTGAGCCTGGAGGTGGGGCCGTGGGATCAGGCTCCTGAGGGTTTGGGAGGAGAGAGTCCTGCCTGAGCCCTGAGCTCTCACACTTGGAAAGGTCCTATCTGCAGAGCCTCCCAGCCTCCTGTGGAAGCCAGGGCATCAGGCCCATCTCAGCAATGAGTAATGGGAGGCTCTGCCTAGGCCGCCATCCGGGCTCCCTGGGCTGCTGAGGCTCAGAGCTGCCTGGCTTTGTGGCCACAGGAGGTGGTGTCTGAGCTGGACTCAGCCTCTCCTTCTGGCCCTGCCCATGAGGGAAGAGAAGTTGGGCCCCTCCAAGTGAGGAAGCACATCATTGGCTGAGCTGTCCCTTCCTGCCTGAGGCCTCAGTCTCCCCATGTGTCATCAGAGAGGGTTAGATTACAAGGTCTCAGCTCCTCTGCCCCAAGGTCTAGAGCCCAGAGCCTGGCCCAGGTCCAAGTCCGGTCTCTGGAAGGGCCTGCCCACTGGCAGCAGTGCAACACTGGAAGAGGTGGGATGGGGGCTAGTTCTGGGCTAAGGGGGCTGTTCCTGATGGACTTTGGCTGTCTGTCTTCCAGGGGAATGTGCTCAGCTGTCGGAAGTGGTAAGGAGCTGCAGCCTCACTGTGGTGAGAATGGGTGTGTGGGAATCAGAGAGCCCCCCTTTCATAAGAAGCCCTCTAGCTCGATCCCTGGGGTCGGACATTTATTTGCAGAGTTTGATATACACAGCTGGGGATCCTATGGCGTTGGCGGATGGGGGAAGGGCTGGCATCAAGGACCCCTTCCTGGTAGAGGATCTATTTCGGGCCAACTGTGAGAACAGGCACGTCCTGACTGGAATTGCTGGGAAGGAGGGTTCCCAAGTTGGCAAAGGCCCCACACTGGCTCCTTGTCCCCCTCCTCACCCCCTCCAAGAGCCCTGTAGGGTCCCCCACCCAGGCCATTTCTCCATCCTGTCCTTCCTCTGTCCCAGGAATTCAAATTCATCAAGGACATCAAGCTGGTTCAGAAGGTTGCAAATCTGTACACCGTGCAACCCGACGAGAACTTTGGGGCCTGATTCCAGGCCGTGGAGCCCGTGAGTGAGGAGGCAAGGTGAGGCAGGGCAGGAGTTGGGTGAGGGCAGGGCGGACTCTCTCTGCAGACCAGCTCCAGTGTCCATGACCGTGACTCCATGGTCAGCCTCAGATCTGGCTGCATGGTGACTCCTGGGGCCCTGGGACTCCAGCTGCTGGGAGGCTCTGGGAGGCACAGCTCAGGTGTGGCTCCTGGGAGCCCACAGCTCCACTCTGTCCTGTAGCTACAGCCTGTCCTCTCAGCTGGAGCCCCGATACCAGTGGACCAGAAAGATTCGACTCTTCTTCAAAGAGAAGAAGAGCCACTCATCTTCCCGCCCAGGGCTGAGTGAGTGTCTGGACTGGCAGTGGCTGAATCCAGGGGCTCAGTAGAGATTCAGGCCAAGTCTGGGACAGGGGAGTCGGACAGCTGTGGTGCTGGGCCCCAGCTTCACCGCTGAACAGTCCTGTCATGGGCGATTCCCCTCGCATTTCTGGGACTGGTTTGTTCCTCTGTGAAGTGGGTGACACTAAATACCAGCCCCTGTGTCAGGGTCAAATGGGGTGCTGTTGGCTGACTGAGCACTCAGCACCAGGGCTGGGGTACAGGGTACACAGGGTGCAGGGAGGGGGGAGAGTATGCTGTGATTCTGGGGGAGGCCCCCTAGGAAATTCCTCTATCTATCCAGACACCAGGCCCCTAAAAAAGAGCCCAGCGGTGGTGGCAGATGACGCTCCTGAGACCAGCTGAACCACAGCAGGGACACAACGGGGACACTCAGGTGCACGGGGCCACCTCTCAGATGCTGATATGAATGAAAACTTTGTGATCCATTTCCTGAAGGCCACAAGGGAGTGGACGACGCCCCCATCTCCCTCACACATTTTCCCCAGCGCCTATTTCCCTCTTTGGAGTGGCCATATTTTTGTTGTCAATGATAAATGCTAAGTTTGGGTATTCTATTAAATTTCTGTTTTTGTCTCAGCCTGGGAGTGGACGTGTGGTTCTTTCGCTCTCTGTGCTCATGGAAATGAGATCCAGAATCTCACATTCCTCCTTGAATTCAGAAACCTCGTAGAGTCCTCAGCTCAGGGCATGTGGTGAAGGGAGACGTGCCAGTGCCCTCCCTGGCTGCTGAAGGACAGTCCCGTGTCCCCCTCACTCCGAGAACAGGATCATTGCAGTGTGGTTCACCTGGTCCTGGAGCAGAAGCGGCCCCTCCGATCTCCCGGGGCTGAGACGTTGGAGGGACTTTCTCTGGCAGAACAACAGCCACGGAAACGGGGGTGTCTTTAAAAGTAGCTCTTGCTTGGGGCCAGCCCAGTGGTGCAGCGGTTCAGTTCCCATGGTCCCCTTTGGCGGCCTGAGGTTCACTGGTACAGATCCCGAGTGCAGACCTATGCACCTCTTGTCCAACCAAGCTTTGGCAGGTGTCCCGCAAATAAAGTAGAGGATGATGGGCACGGATGTTAGCTCAGGGTCAGTCTTCCTCAGCAAAAATAGGAGGACTGGCTGCAGATGTTAGCTCAGAGCTAACCTTCCAGAAGAACAAAAAAGCTGGCCCTGGCCTGTGCCTAGCACAATTCCTGCCCAGGACCGTGGCTGCCTTCCTGCACTTGGAGGACGAGGGAACATTTTCCCAGTTCCTCTTGCCCAAATGGGGACTTGTTTTCTGATTCAGTCCCTAGAATTGCATCAACTGTAAGTGGGGAAAATCCTGTAAAACCTCAAAGTGTGCACGTGGAGAGGGAGAGGCTAGAGGAAGGTCCTGTGCACATAGACTAAGGGCGGTCAGGACTCTCCCTCTCTGGGCCTCTCTAGGGTCTCCCTGTTCACATTTGACCTGGGCTTGGTCCTCCTGGGATTCTGGTCTGAGACTCTGATTCCCATTTCCTGCTTATTTTCTCTCCAAGGGGAAAGATTGGGGAGGCAGCTTTTAGCACCACAGCTGGGCCTCCCTCCACTAAACCTGGTTCTCCCTGGGAAGTAGGATTTTTAGCATCCCTGCACTTCCGCATGCAATTCTTTCTTAGGGCAGAAATTCCCTAGATGCCCCTAGCCTTTCTGTCAGGTCCATCGTGGCCACTCCTTCCAGGCTGGACCTGATGGATCCCTGGTGAGCTATGGTTTTCCAGGATAACAGACCATCCTTCTGACCAGGAATGACCCCACAGTGTTCCTTGCTGCCCAGGGTGACCTCTGGGCCTGTGTGGTTCTCTGGTCCATGGTCTTGGACATTCACCAGTTTATACACTCTGGTGTAATTTGACTGGCTTTTCCTAAAGTGGTAGCTGGGCCCGAGCCCATGAAGCATGTAGCCCCTGGGGTGACTGGGGTCATTTCCACAGTCTTGTGCTGTGGTTCTGTCATCGAGGTGTGAACCTTTCCTGTTGGGAAGTTGGAAAGATGAGGCCTAAGAAGGGTGTGAGTTGGGGGTCCTGCGGGCAATGCCACCAAACTAATGTTCTGTGGATGTGCATGGACACAGCCTCACCAAGTATAATCCGGAAATGCTCCCCATGTTGGTGTCCAACAGACACTGGTCTGGCTCAACCGGAGAACCCGCCTGATAACCAACAGCTAAAGGGTCACCACCCGGCCTTTTGAGCCTCATCCCCAGGAAACACCATGTAAGCAAGGACCAGATGAATCGCTTGTCACTTCTGAGTTATCCCCTCCTTCCTGATGGCTGCAAGTGTCACTCAGACACTTGGCAGGCTGGACTCTGCCAGGGAGGCCATCTCAGGACAGCCAGAACCTGAGGATCAATCCTGGTTCCTGGCAGCCCAGGCCCTTGCTGATGCAGTGCAGCCACCCAGGAAAGAGACTTGCCAGAGGAAGGTGGGGAAGGCTGTGCTATCCCTCCAGGGAGAAAGAGTCGTGGTAGGTCCCAGGGCTAGTCCAGGGCCAGGATGAAGGCACGGGTGTCCCAAGAGTGTCTCCTCCAGGACTGGGATGCTCCTGAGAGCCGACCCAGCAGGTAGCTACATTCAGTAAGTCACATGGGTACAGCTGTGGCAGAGGAGGGACAATTTATCCCATCTTTGGGTTTCCAAATTGGAAATTGTTTGCTGAAGTCCATGAGTAAAGCAATTAGCAAATCTGGATGACAGGTTTATTTTTGAAGGAAAGTATGAGTTACCAAAACTGGCTTCCTAAGAGCTAACTAAAGGGAAGAGAAAATAATAATGTGAATCTCTTGAAAAGCCTCAGGTGCATATAGTGTCAGAGAGAAATCCTCAAAATGTTTGAGGAACTGGAAAGCCGGGTTCTGTTTAAACTGTTGCAGGTGTAAGGTGGGGATGGGTGCTTGCATCTCGTCTTCCTGTGTAAGTGAAAACAACATCACGTTAGGAATAAACTCAGTCTTTCCAAAGTGGTGTAAGACATGGGATTGTACTCCTCACTCACGTAGCTCAAGAATATCTTGCCACGTTGTCCTTTCACTGATGCATCTTCCATTTACAGGAGCTAACAAAAAATCTGTCCCATTGACAGCCATACCATCCAGCTAACTGCCACCTCACCCCACTCACAGTGCTCCGCAAGCCTCTCTTGGTGATCTGTCTCATCACAGTGAAGGAGTCAAGCCAGAGTGTTCCAGAGTCCTGGGAACCATATTCATACCACCTCCAAGTGCCAAGACAGGAGGAGCTCTGAATGGGAAAACTGACTCTCAAACACTGCCCTTCTCTTGGCTCGCCTTAGGATTTCTCCCTGAATGATATGATTGGACCATTCACCTGACTGCTGCCCCCTTGGTTTTGGTGGCTCAGGAAGAAGTACCAAGATGTACTGGCCTTTCCTTCACCCTTGAGGAGACCAATGAGAATCCCTCTTGACTCCCCAACCTTCCCTTAGGTTTTGATGTCTACACTGCCTGTCCCAGTGACCACAAGACCTTGGAGACCACTCTGGCTCTCCTTAGGGAATTGAACTCTCTCTAACTACAACCACCGGACTACAGCAAAACTGGGGCCACTGTTTTAGGAACAACTTCAGCATTTGCAGCTAAGGTTGGAACACTTCTGGAGATCTACCAAAGCCCCTGGGTAAGGGGTCTGGATTCTGGAGAGAGAGATTCTGGTCTTCACCAATGAGTTCTCTCATCCAATCATAGGGAAAGGCAGAAGCTCTATGTATGTCATCCCAAGGACTTCTCAGTTTGGGAGATTATTAACTGGGTTGGGAAGGAAGACGATGGTGAAGGAGAAGTGACATGGAAACATTGAGACTCAGCCCAGGGTCATGCTCAAGGCCAATGCATCCACCGCACTGCTCCTGGGAACATTGGCTGAGGACAGCTCACAGCTCTTTCCCTCACAGGACATGCCCACAGCATAGGGAACCACCTAACCTTAGGACACAACCCTCTCGAGGGACAGCCAGAGGCCCAGGTCTGGCCAATAAGGGAATAAGAAACATGGTCTCAATTTGGGACAACACCAAACGGCCGTCCCAGCTCCAGAGATCCTTGAGGGTTGGCAGAGACTCAGTGGCAACTGTCTTGTTCTTCAGCTTCTCCTTCAATGATCCCTGCCTTGCTAACTTCCCATAGGGATATCTCCCCAGAACCCTTCCCTAAATCTTCCACATGGAATACTCCCCCACACAGTCTCTTTCCAGGGCCCCATCTGTGACAAGCAGCAATCAGGAGACATTAATGCAGAACACAGCAGCATGAGATTCGGCAAATGTTCTGGAAGAGTTATCTGTTAGGCGATCTGAGAGGGTAGGTCATTGTAATCTCCAGGATAACTTAGGTAACGCTCTGGTAATAAATGCAACAATTGAGAAATTCATGACTAAAGATGTATTTCTCCTCAGATTTACATCATACATTGATAGTTGAGGTGAAGGGACCCCTGCTTCCTAAGTCACGTGGGGGAAGGCTGATGGAGGCCCCACGATCTTGTTGGTACACCATCTGAAACTGATGCCTGCTTCAGTTGCCACCAAAGGACAGAAAGAGCACCTAGGTTCTTACACCTCCTCTTTTCTTCTTTGGCTTAAAAGTGATGCCATTGGTCGTAAGGTGCCACAAATCTTTTACAAAGCCAAGAGGTCTAGAAAACATAGGCTTCTGTGTGCCAGAGTGAAAGCAAAAGTGGATGCTGGCACCACACCCTCTTTCTTTTCACCAAAGGATATGATTCCTCTCCCTCTCACGTAGAGAATTCACTCACCCTCTTTCCCAAGGAGGACATCTGAAGACCTGGTAAACTCAGAAACCCTAGCTGACCCTTGGGCTAATGGGACAAAGACTTCAGGGGCCACACATGACAAAGAATACAGAACTCGCAGGAGAGGATCTGAAAATTCACTAAAGAAACTAACAAGGACTATTGTAATAAGCAGAAACAAGAAACGCTGGGGATGGGGAGAACCTGACATCCACAATTGTCACATCATCATATTCCAAATAGTCGTCTGCAAGAAGTTGCAGGGCATACAAAGAGACAAAGAAGGATAGCTCATACAGAGGAAAACTTCATGATTAGAAGGGGCCCTTGAGGAAGCACTGAGGGGTTACTGCAGAAAATTTTCTCTGCTTCTTGCTCTTCACATTCCTGTGCTGAGCCTATATCTTCATAAGCTTGTCGCAGGGATGCTGAACAGCTCTGTTTCAGGGTAAGACAGAGTCAGAGGTCATGGATACCAGCAACTGATTTGTCTATTTTCTTCTGTCTTTCTCCATGACTATATCTACTGTCTCATCTTGCTTTACAAGCAAAACCTGGAAAACATACCAAAGCAATTGTTTTTGGGTTTTTCTACCAATAGTACAGAAAATATGGCTGTTATTTTTGGTGCTGAAACTCAATTTTGTGGAGTAAATTTCAACCTGAATTTGAAGTTTAAAATAGTTAAACACAGAATAACCATATGACCTGGCACTTCCACTCCTAGATATTTACCCCCTAAAATCGAACACAGGTATGCAACCA